CTAACCAGGAAGTGCACACCACGTGACGCATCTGAACGAATGACGTTTCTTGGTTTAAGACCCCTTTGTACTTTCACGATTGGTTGCTTATACAAAGGGAATTACCATATTTGGATCCAATGAGATTGTGTAGGAGACACAGAGCTTTCCAACAATATCTATGATGACAGGGTGCAAACAGCGGTCGCGGTACTTTATGTTACATTACAATGACAACTTTTGGTGAATTTAGGAGAAATCTACAGACGCAAATAGACAAACTATAATAAAATAAACACCTAAATGTGTATTTTGTACATTTTCCTTCCAAAAGCCTGAAATAAAACATGTTATGGAATCAAAATAGCACAAAATCTCAAAATTGACCAGTGCATGAAAAACTATGTTTTTGCCTGCCGTGTCTCGCCTTAACAGAACCTGTAAGATGTTAGCCAAGCGGCTGCTGCTAACAATCAAAACAATATTACCTCATTCACACCAACGGTGTTTCAGGGCCGGTTTGGAGCTGGAGCTTGAAAAGCACTGGGTTTTCCTCTTCACACCGCAGCGGAGCAGCCTCTTAGCTCCGGAATCCGGTTCGTTTCAAGCACCAAAAAATTGTCCGGCCAGAGCGAAAGCACCTCATAGGTCACGCTTACATCGAGGCGGGGGCAGAGACAGAGACAGATCAACTCCTGAACAACAACAAAAAGCCCACGTTTTATCCAGTTTGTACACAACGATGGAGAAACTTAACAAGAATTTCAGAGTTTCAGTGTTTCAGCCATAGACTGTATATATTGTAGTGACCACTTATTAATATATTGGGTTACATAATTCACACATGGAACTACAGTTGGGGGTATTGTTTCCACACAGACATATATGTGTTGTTATCTATATATGTTGTGTGCCTTCCTGGCTCTTTCTCTTGTCGTCCCGGGCTGCGACCCAACAACATCTACATTTCTGCTGCTCATTAAAGCAAGCTTTGTACCTCCATTGCACCGCCTCCGACTCCCTATCTCTCGGATTGGTGACCCTGACAACGTCTCGTGAAGTTTCCAGGACGGACCCGAACATGGCGAAAAGCGCTGTTTTTCTCGTTATGCCAGAGACTGTTGGAGACGTCCGTGGCTGCCATGGGCACACGGACTGAGGCTCGGTGCGCCCCCCCGCGGAATGGCTGAGGACGTCACTCGCCACTCCCGCATCGTCTCGGCACTGGAGGACAGCGGGCCTTCCATCTACACGGAGACGATGCACGACCTGCTGGGTAGGGGAGAGAACCAGACTCCTTCCACGTGGGGTTGTTTCTTCGGGGCTTGCGGCTGCACGTCCAGGCTGCGCTAGCTATCGACGACTAGCAGCTAACCACGTTAGCTAACGGCTACGGCTAGCAGCTACCGATGGCTGCCAGCTAGCGGCTAACGGCTAGCTGCTAACGGCTATCGATCCTTTTTGAGCTTTTCTGGTGCCTGAGAGGAGGTTCGACCATGTCCGGTCGGCCTCGTGTGGACCCTCTCGCCTTTTCACCACCGCAACGGCGGCTTCGGACGTCACCCGCGTTTTCATCGGCGCCTGGGTGGCGCGCTTCGGGACCCCGTCTCGCCTCGACAGTTTCGGACGTCGCCCATGCCTTCGTCGGCCCGTGGGTGGCGCGCTTCGGGACCCTGTCTGGCCTCCTCCTTCGCCTCGGTGGTTTCGGACGTCGCCCATGCCTTCATCGGCCTGTGGGTGGCGCGCTCCGGCACCCCGTCTGGCCTCTCCCCTGTCCACGGCTCCTTCCTCCCGGGGATGCTGCTCCTGCCCCCGGGGACCCGGCTCCTTCCTCTCGAGGACTTCGTGCCCACCGCCGCTGTACCCTCGCCTGCGGCCGGGCAGCGCTCCTTCCTGCTGGGGTCCACCGGGTTATTCGCGGCTCAGCGACCCGGCTTTCGCCGACTGGTGGGTGATGACTTCATTCGCCACGATGCCTACTGCGGCCCCCTTACTGCGGCCCCCTTACTGCGGCCCCCTTACGACGGACCCGTTCCGGCCCACCCCCGGTGGGGATGCCCCTACCCTCTCCTGCGGCCCCCTTCCGACGGCCCTTTCCATGGCCCTCACCTGCAACCTCGGCCCCTGTGGTGCTTCCTCCCAGACGCGGGGGTTGTCTCCATGGTTGAATTCTGGGGGGGCTTGTGTAGTGACCACTTATTAATATATTGGGTTACATAATTCACACATGGAACTATAGTTGGGGGGTATTGTTTCCACACGGACATATATGTGTTGTTATCTATATATGTTGTGTGCCCTCCTGGCTCTTTCTCTTGTCGTCCCGGGCTGCGACCCAACAACATCTACATTTCTGCTGCTCATTAAAGCAAGCTTTGTACCTCCATTGCACCGCCTCCGACTCCCTATCTCTCGGCACTACAATATAAAGGTTTCTGCTCATGGTGAAGCAACGTGTCTGCGTGTTAAGGTCGAACCTGAGCATTCACGTTGATCACCTTTCATTATAACTCATTATAAATCTATAAAACTATAAATATTAAACTTTACTTCACGTGTTCATTTGAGAACAGCTGTTACATACCTGGGTGAAGGTTACAGTTCATTTAAATGAAAGATACAACGTTACTCCACACTCATGGTTCAGTCCACCTTAAGAAATAAGACCGACCTCGGAAGCAGTTCTGTTTTAAAAAAAACTTTATTGACACGAGTACACTTTTTCATAAGTATATAGTCTAAACCACAGAAATGACTCCGGAAAAGCTGCAGATAGAGCCATAAGAAATGAATGCAACTGATTTCATCCGCACGGTTTGGCTTTATGAAGCAGGCACGCAAACGGTTACGTCATGACGCAAACGATGACGCAACGACGCATTATCAGTCGGACTCTGGGCGGTGTGAAAAGAGCCTGAGCTAAACCGAAGAATTGGTTCTGAACCTGAAAAGCTCTAGCACGGAGCTTGAACCGGAGTTGCGTTGGTGTGAATGAGGTATATGTTACCGGGAGCGGGAGCTAGCGCGCTGCCTTCACCAGCTGAGTTAAATAATTAAGCTTAACAGTAGGCTACAAGGTGTTAGCCAAGCGGCTGCTGCTAACAATCAAGCAAGTCCAAGTCAATTAACATAAATGTTAAGACAAGATAATCAGCCAAACGGCTGCACATAGCAATAACATAATATTGGGAGGGATTAAACCCTCTTTAATGGCCACACATGCAGAGCACACAGCACACACAGTGAAGATTGTTGTCTGCATCTAACCCATAGTGCTAGGAGTCTACTCGGAGCAGTAAATAACTACGATATAGTTAGGCTGAGCCACGCTACTGCAGTGCTAACTAAATAAAACGAGAAACGCAGCCAAGCAGGAACTCAAAATGCTAATGATAGCTCGGGCACAACGCCACCAGCAGAACGCTCAAAAGAGCACAATAAGGGCAACTTTATGGGAGAGGAAGCGGGAACACTGTCGTCACCAGAAAGTCTAAGCCAAACGATAAACAAGAAAGCAATCAGGACAACTTAGCTGGGAGAGGGTGCGGGGACACAGCCATCACCAACAAAGTTGACACAAACCTGTCCGTCGAGGCTCTGCACAGCCGGCCACAGCTCCTGGAAGACGAGTCAACGACCCGCGGCTCCGACTGAATCACGAAGTTGCACGCGGCCAGCTGCATGCAGAGCAATCCCTCAGATCAAACGTTCAAACTTGAACGCTGTAGGCTACAAGAATGTAGCCACGGTACTCTCGCGCAGCGAGAAGATGAAAGGAACAGATCCTCTGACGACACCGGCTGATATAGCCGGTGTCACGTGGGTCACAGGTGACTTTGTTGTTATTGGTACTCGAGTTGCGCATGCGCACGATGGACATATACAGTGCTAAAGCACCGCCTCTGGCGGTCAGTAGGGACCACATAGAACTGCAGTTACAGCTGAGCAGGGCCTCTTTGCCCTTCCTCTGACCTTGGCGTCAGTTCACTTAACGTGAATACATTTGGTAATAATTAGCAAAGAGATGATGGACCTCTTTACTATGGAAACTGTAATTAAATAACAGGTTACTTATATAACTAGGTCCAAGACTGATATAACACTTATTATATATTTTTCTAACTTTTTCCAAGGTCCCTTAATATTTTACAGTTTGAGAAGTAACCCTTTTCACGAGTCTACTGAACTACATGCGTAAAATCAGCGAAGTTTCCCTTTAAAGGAACATCAAGACGCACATAACCATCTTAGCTGCACTGCTGGGTTAGAAATCACTGAATTAACATGGAGAACAACAACAAACAACTGGAACTGATCTGGTCAGTGTCAGCTCTGTGTCTGTGTGTGTGTGGGGGGGGGGGGAGATTAATGTGTGTTATTGTACGAGGCGTCCTCTGTTTGAGCGCTAAAGACCCATTTTCTGCACTACACCTTAACCTGGTCTATACCTGGTCTTAACTGTAGGCTATAATAACCCTATATAAATAATTAATATTACATGTGCTGCAGGAGGAAGAAACCAAAGCACATTTTAATATATTTAAGATGTTATGTTGGAGTTTTAGTGGCAGTGAGGAGATAAATAATACAAAAGATAAGGTCACTGAGGACAAGTCCCGTAAGGAGTGCCAGAGAAATGACATTTTTAGGGCAGGGACATCTGTGAGTTCACCCTCCAAGAAAACAGTGTGTACACAGTACTTTTTGTGTACACACCTGGAGTAGGCCTACATTAACCGCTGGTGCTTTAAGCAAAATAATGTGCACCGGACCTGGGGAACAGTTTGGAGCGAAGAGGGGAAGTTGCACCACCCGGTTCAGGCAGCAGGACTGGAGCAGATATAAGCTCAGATAGTGATTGAAAGTGATGGTAAAAGGATTTAGCCTGGGCATTAACAGAGAGTGAGAGAGATAGAGAGATAGAGAGGAAAGGGAGGGGAGAGAGAGAGGAGGAGGAGGAGGGTGATATTTTCCATAAAGCCTTTTTTTTCTCCTCTCTTTCTGCCCTTGAGCATCCCGGGTAAACCCGAGCTTGTAAAGTGGGAAGAGGAGGAGGAGAGGGGGGAAGAAGGGCGGGCACAAGCCTTTCCTCAAAGTCAATATTCTATACTTTTGGTACTCCTTCACGCTGGATTTCAGTTCTCCTTTTCACAGACGTTCCTAGATCTAGGACACCGATCTACCGGGCGCAGCCTTCCACGGTGCGATAAAAAGTATCCGGCAAACAAACAGCGAGCCGGGGCACGAGGAAACCCGGAGCACAGTGAGCACCGCGGCGGGGACCGAACACTGGACCATCGGGGCATCTCTTTTTTGTACCCAAAGAAGGGGGACGTGCACGTACAAAGTGCTGACCTGTTTCGCGGATGCATTTTAGAAGTAAGTGCTTTATCTGTTATGATAAAAAAAAAACGTCGATGCATTTTGATCAAGCTCTTTGAAGTGTGCACCGAGGAGCTGTTCTGAGTTATATCCGGGCCACTCCAGCATAACCGGAGTGGTGAGGGGACTTTAATCGCAATGTACACTCTTTCCCTCACGCGGATTACACGCTTTAATGTGGGGTATACAATAGATGCGTAGTGTGAGGGGATGCTGCACTCCTGGAGGATCTGACACACCCCTACAACACTGACAGTGCGGGAAATAGCTTTGGAGACTTCACTTGACAACTGAACTAAGTGAGGATGCACAGCGTTGTTGGGATAGTGACCGTTAGATTATCTATTATCAACGAGGGCACGCTGCAAAATATGTCAACCATATGTATTGAATAAGATAAAGTGGCCAAATTCGGCAATATTTACTTCTGGTGCAGTTTATTTATCTGACAGTTAATTATTACTTTAAAAACTGTAGATTTAAGTAACACAGAATACTGATTAGGATCTAAAATAAATGTTCCCATGAAAATAGCACCTGATCCAAGAAAAAAAAGTTGTTTGTATAATTGTCCCTCCTTTTTGCAAATGTTCACACATTTTAAGTACATTGCCTTGAAAGCATCTCTTTGCTTTAAAAACAAACAGTTGACAGTCCATCTCCAGCATTGTGGAGGTGTGAACAATTACAACTGTGGCACGCGCATGGCGGCACCCGGCAGCAGCACGTGTTTTTACGCACAAGGTTATCCTCAGGATACGGAGCCTTTTAGTGTCTGTGCAAATCTTTATTTTTAATATGCCAATGCACCGCAGTCAGGAGGCAGGTTAAACCAAACGTGCCCAATTTAGGCCTACCACACATTCACTTAAAAGTTCTCCTTTTATAATCTGTTTTTCTTTCACTGTCAAACTAAATACCACACATTTCTAGATTATACTCAAGGAATTAATTATGCTACTAAATTAGATCTTATCCCACCCATCCGCATATATATTTTAAATACATGTCATTAAACCTTTATTCATGCAAAAGAGAAAAAGCCATGCATGATACATTTCATCTCCAGCTGAGCTTTGAAAAATATATCCTTGCATTTACAGCAGGACTCCGGAAGTGCTGAATTGATGAAGCTACACCCCTGAGACTAACTTCTTATCACATTTGTCCTCATTTTGCCCCCAGGATAATCAGAGGAGCACGGCCGGTGCAAAACCTCCAATGGATATACCTGAAGACGCAGCATCATCCACCCGGAGCAGCGCCACTCTTTCCCCGCGGGACTCCGCTCTCTGAGGGCATGGACCCGCGTTAACAACTCCCACCCAACTCCCCTGCAACACTATGGTTAAAGTGTATGCCGAGATTAAGCTCTGTAACATTATCCGCCTCTCCACCCATCAGAAACAAGGAAGCGTCCCTCCCTCGGCAGTTTGGGACCGTCAATATCTGAGAAGAGACACTGAGTTACAGAAAAAGATCCAGTGTCCTCCTGACATTTAGGGGAATCTAAAACCCTGGAGGAGAGTTGTGTGCATTTACATCCAGCGTTTCACTCTCAGTACAGCAGCATGGCGGTGGGGATGTCCATTATTTCCTTATGATCTCCGCTCCATGCGCGTCACCCCTTCTCTGAGCTCCGTGGCCCCCTCACCCTGCGCCGGACCCGGCTCCAATCACCACCCCCCCTGACCTGCCATGCTCCTCCAGGCCGTGTTTCTGCTGCTGCTGCACTGCTTAGCCTCCACGCTGGGCCAGTACGAACTGTGCAAGTCCCTGGTGAGCACGGATGAGGGCCCGGTGTGGGAGCAGTACGCGTGCCAGCCGAAAACCGCCTCCATGAAAGACCACATGCGGATCAAAGTGGATCCGCCAGGAATAACTTGTGGAAACCCACCCGAGAGGTTCTGCACTCTGGTGAGTTCAAAATCTGGACTTTTACTGCATTTAACAACTTTTTGATAACGGTAGTGTCGAGAAATACATATCTGAAAGTGTAAAGAGCTGCTCCACATTTCAGACAGACATTGCGTGACATTACAATCTTTGAATTGAATTGGAATTGAATTGGTTGGTCTTTATTAAAGATCTAAGAGTAAAAAGTCAATAAGTATGAACTTTAATAATGACTAAAATTGATATAAATACATATTTGAAAGTGTGAAAAGGGGCTTAACACTTTCAGACAAACACTGATTGGTCTTCAATTACAATCTGAGAATAAAAGCAAAAACAACTTTATAAATGACAAAAATGTAAAGAGATGTATATTTGAAGTGCTCTTTACTTTCAGAAAACAATGGCTGGTGTGCATTGGAAATATAAGAGTTTTAAAGTAAAATAAATATAATTTTACAAGGTCACACAGGCAGTAACGACAGAAAAAAGGGTCTAATAAAAGTCAGACCAGGATTCACACTATGAAAGCTATAGGGAGTTAAAAGGGATGACATAAGTGCAATGACTCGGCAGGAGCTGCTGAGGTGTTGTTTACATTAGTATGGACCTGGGATCCGGTTTGTTTGGGCTTCTAGAGGACCCACCATTTCCTCTGGTAAAATGCATATATAGCGGGACCTTTTTAGTTCCAAGGACAGTGAAGGGTGAGCTGGAGGAAAACTCGTTAAAATGTCTGCTACAGCAATATTTAACACACTTTAGCCTGGGGGGTAGTTCCCATCCCGGATAATGTAAGTGTAATAATTTGAAACAAGGGTTATAAAATCATTATAATCCTAAGAAGACTGCAGAGGAAAAGTTTTATATCTGAGGTTTGATTCACAATGTCTGTGTGTGTGTGTGTGTGTGTGTGTGTGTGTGTGTGTGTGTGTGTGTGTGTGTGTGTGTGTGTGTGTGTGTGTGTGTGTGTGTGTGTGTGTGTGTGTGTGTGTGTGTGTGTGTGTGTGTGTGTGTGTGTGTGTGTGTGTGTGTGTGTGTGTGTGTGTGTGTGGGTGTGTGTGTTTGAGACAGCAAGTTTTTCCTCATGATAATCGCCGACTGTCCACTCTCTCAGTTGGACAGTGTTGGAGGTGTCAGACCAACAGCCATGACTCAAGATCTCACAAGTGTTTGTGCAGAGTGTTTAAAGCCTCACATTGTACACACCGTGTCATGCTGTTAATTAGCTGTTTGTATTCTGTGTGACTGGGGTTTTGTTACCTTAAATCAGCTTAACACACTCCCCCCTCCTCTCCCTGAGACTGGTGTTTGTCGTTTGACAGCAGCAGGAAGGGATATTGTGCTCTTGGATACCTAATGGTTAATGATGTGTTTAATGTAGAGCTAGCGGAAACCACTGACGTCTTGAGAGAGCTCTCCGGTGACTTTGTCTTGAGACGGGAGACGGACAAGGAGGGAGTAAAAGTGGGGAGAAGAGAGATGCTCGCTGCCATAACGTATTGACGTCTGCCCCCTAATGGCCCCGGCCTGGAAACTTCTATAACTATGTTTCTGAGTGAGCAATGATGAAATATTGATGGGTTCCTTAATGGGCTTCCTTACAAGGGTTGGCCAGGTCCATACCAAGGATCCAGAGTGGGCTGATGGGAGGGTGGTGGGACAGGAAAGACGCTGGTCTTAGTCAGCACTTTTAAATTGGACGGGGTCTATACAGTGGAATATTCTGGTTCTTCTCAGGTCATCCGTGGCTCTGGGGATTGCAGCAGGCCCCCTAGTGCGCCAGCAGGGGATTTAGAGAGTAAAGAAGCTGCAAGATGGAAGTTTACTTAAGAAGGGAGTCAAACTCAAATTCCTACATAATGAGAGAAATGTGCAGGTTTAATACTGTCAGATCATTATTTGACTATTATTCTGCTATTGAGCAAAAAACTGCTTTTCAGGCAGGCTATAATCCAGATTTTAGCATATATCTACATACAAATCTTATTTTAGGTTAATAATCGCCAGATGTGGAAGAAGTACTCTTGATGTTTTACTTAAGTAAAAGTTGAAACCTGTGTAGAAATACTCTGTTAGAAGTAGAAGTACTAATGTATATCGATGTTTTCACTAAAGTAAAAAAGTATAAGCATGCTCATACATTATATACTTGAAGTACCAACATCTAAAAGTACTTGAAATGTAGAATGGTCATATTTAAAAAGAAGACATATATTTGATATCACTTGATATAATTAGTCATCTATTCATGTTTTCATCATTTGGATTTTGCAGCTGTTAAATGTGTAGCTCACTTTAATTACTTGTTATAATGCCAGGTCTTTATCCATTACAGTAAATGGTATTTCATTATCTGGGTTTTATGAAAAATATGAAAGTCCAAACTAATTATGTCAAATAAATGTAAATGGATTCAAAGTACAACATTTGCAGTAGAAGTATAAGGTAGTAGAGGAAACTTCAGCAGGGAATGAACTACATCTCCTCCGCCTTTCTTTGGACCCGCAGACGGAGTATGAGTGGAGAGTTATTGGTACACAGATCATTTATTTTCAGGCAAGCAGCATTTTATCTCCTCTTCTTCTTGCCCCCGGATTTGGCAGCTTTACAGGAAAGCCTGTTTCTTTTCTAATTGGTGTACATTTACATTCACTCATTCAGCAATCCCACAAGTCAAGGGAAAGTCGGGGCACTGGAATAAAAAATAGAAAGAAAGAGAAACTGCATCACCCAATGCGCAGAGCTGCTCATCCTTAATAAGACTTGAGACATACTGCAGAAGATGCTAAATATTCCCCCCATCCTTTCTTCCAGTGTGTTTTCAAAAAAGTATTCACTCTTTGCTGGTTTTGATGTTGAGGTGTACCGTAGCGTTCCTGCAGGTGTACAGTCGTTGTTGGTCCCTCCATCTCCACAGGGATCCTTTTTTCCCACTCTATTTTCTCTCTCGTTCCATGAGAATGCAGCTTCCTTCCTCCTCAGCCAAAAAGGCCAGCATGTTGGCTTCTTTCAACATGACGGCTCCCGGCTCTCTGACAAAGATGCTACTGTAACTAGCGTCGAGTTAGGGGCTTCAGTGTAGTTTGTAGTTTCTCAGTATGATACTAGTCTCGGCTTGCAGTTGAGGATGATGGAGTAAGGAGGTGTGAGGGGGGTGAGGCGGTGCGGTGCAGAGGGGGATAGCTGATGATGAGGGAGAGGTGAGGAAGATCCAGGCTTAGCTAAGCAGAAAGATGAAAATCACACCACAGTTCCCACAAAAGTACAAACAGTGTGTCGATATAGAAAATGCTGAATTCAAAAAGGTCTCCTCGTGCTGTTTGTTATTTTCGCTTTTTGGTTTTGAAAGGAAACCTTCAATCAACCGTCTCCCCTGGGTCCCGAGTACAGAGAGCAGCTGAATGCAAATGTGACGCGTTGCATGTGTATGGGAATGTACAGTACTTTGACGTTATAGAGCGGACCAGCAGGGGGGTGTGTGTGTTTGAAACATTTTGCACGAGTTGGCCAACAGCGACAATTGCATATCTAACACAGACACACACAAAAAACCCACACACACCTTCCTGTTCCACAACACATATGCCCATTTTAGAAGGTAGAAATCAGCCTGCTCTAAAAATAGACATGAAGGGAGAGGAGCCGCGCAGCAGCGGAAGAGGAGCGAGCAGGAAGGGAGGAAGATGGCAGCTGGTAGGTCACTGCTTCCCAGACTGGGCCTATGGCCACTCTTCATCCTCCCTGCCCAGCGTCGGCCTGCCTGCCCTCCCCAGCAGTGGGTCATCAAGGCCGGGCAAAAAGGGGCCACACACTCCCAGCATCCCTTCCTTGATGCACCTCCCTGGGGTTAAAGCTCGCCCAAGTTTCCGAATAAAACACCCTCAGAGGGGGATTTGGGGCTCAGCAGGGTGGACAGTGCAGGGCATAATTAAAGCAGGGAACTGAGAGAGTGACTGTACGGACGGAGGGAGGGAGGTGGGGGAGGGTGCAGTGATGTAATGGCATGGCTTGCTTCCCCATTAGGACACAGTTGAAAGTGATCAGAGAGTGTTTAGATGTGTTGGTAGAACGGGAGGATAGTTATAAGTGAGATTTATCCCTGGCTGAGTTGATACTAAGAGGGATTGGCTGCACAGGCTTAAGACAGCCTGAGGTGAACTTAACAAACAGCCTGAGAGGAGAGAACAAAAGTACAGGAGCTACAGACAGTGTTCGTATGTGTCATCATCATGCATTGGATATTTCCGTGATATTTTAAAGAGAAATGTGTCCCTGCTTGTTATACATTGTGTGTCCTTTATTTGTACTTGGTGAAACTTCCTCCTCAATAGAGGTTTTTGGGAAAGTGTAAAGAAGCCTCTTCGCTTTCCAACAAACTTCAGTGTAACAGAATCTAAAAAATACAGACAGAGAGAAGTCCCCTGGAAATGCCTGAAGACATTCATATGATTTCTGTTGATTTAAAACCTGCAGGAAATCTATGAGACAAATGCGCTCACTGCCCTGTTTGACGTTCTTTCTTGAGTCTCCTAAACTCTGCACAGTAGAAGTTATAAGTAAAATGTTATAATAAAAAAGAAATATGGTCAAATCCAGCTTGACAAATAGCAGAATTTCCCTTCTCAATCCAAAAAACAGCTCCTCAATTAAAGATGAAAAAAGCTGTGCTTACAGGTCTTAGAAGTACAAATGCATATGTGAAGTAGCTGTGGGAAGTCTGATACATTTCCTTTACGCAATGTCCAAAAGTTTGTGATGATTGGGACTGAAGACTACAAGGCGTACAAATTTGGCATATGGAGGAAAAAGTGAGCTTTTTAGACATCTATGGTCTGTTTCGCAACTTCTGAGGCAATTAGCTTAAGGCTACATTAGCAACTCACCTGCATCTCAGCATTGAACTGTTGATTGTTGAGTTGCATTGTGGGTAATGTAGGCGCCAGTAGTGACAAGGATAGTGACGCTTAAAATAGTCAACTAGCTCTGGCTTTGCTACTCGATTTTGATCCTTTTTAAGA